AATGCCTAAGAGAATCATGAGTAGTAAACCTTAATTCTTGCAACATTGCATGTTGGCATTTCATGAGTACATTAGTGGAGAAGATTAATTGTGCGTTGAGAAGTGGCTTGAGAAAGAGTAGGGAACTTTGTGTATGAACTACTCGAGTAGAGAGAATGAGAAAAATACTGAAAACGGGTTGGTGCTTTGTGATCTCCACCCGAACGTCACGAAGAGTGGGTTGGTGCTGTGTGAACTCCACCCGGCTGTGCCTCCGGTAAGATGAGGCCGTGACATATAGTAGAAATTAAGTAAAAGAGCTGTGTGAAAGAGAAAATAAATAAGATGAGAAAAAGTGTAACGAAAGAGTTAGAGAAAGAGTTACGGGGACAGTCGAATAGAGGATTTACTTACTGAGCATTATTTTGTGCTCACCCCATTGTTTTCTTTGTGGTTGCAGGATCTAGGTGAGAACGCGGTTGGTTGGGCGTCGGTAAGCGAGGAGCAATAGCTACACTATCTGCTGTTTTAATGGCATTTTGTAAATGATAGTTTATTTTGTATAAAGAATGTTTATATGTAATAAAAGAAAATTTTGGGCCCATTTACTTTTGCTAATATAAATGTATTCTACTTGATATATTTCTATGAGTACCCTAGTTTAAAGCAGTCATTACATAGACTCAACTTCAAAACCTGTAGGCTGAACCATAAACACATTTTCGGTGAGATCCCCATTTAAAAAAACATTATTTATACTGCTGTTGAATAGGCCAATCATGATGGACAACTAATGAGAGAATAATCTTGATGGTGGCAGCTTTAATCGCAGGGGCAAAGGTATCAAAATAATCTAATCCTGGTGTTTGTTGAAACCCCTTAGCTACCAACCTTGCTTTATATTTTCGAAGAGATCCATCAACATTTAATTTAGTCTTAAACACCCATTTACTCCCAACTACATGCATATTTGAACGGTAAGGAATTAATTCCCAAGTATGGTTTTGAATGAGAGCTTGAAATTCTGTTTCCATAGTTGACTTCCATTTTGGACATTGAAGTGCTTCTATAACAGTTTTGGTTCAGGCAGAATTGTTGCTGTAGAGAGAAGAGCACAAGGTTGTACCAAGCTTTTTGACCTTGTTAACATAGGATGGACATTTTCAGTATTTTTGATAGAAGTCTGATGCTGAGGCAGTTGAATAGGTAAGACTACTTCAAGTTGAATCCCTTTATGTGTAGATGGAACATTGGAGTGAGTTGTGACTGTGCATTGATTAGGTTGAGATGTCTGGACAGTTTCAGATTGATCAGGTTGAGATGTCTGGACAGTTTCAGTACTTGTTTCAGAGAACTGATGCTTAGAAGGTTGAGTAGGTAAGACTACTTCAAGTTGAATTCCTTTATTTTTAGATGGAGCATTGGAGTGAGCTGTGACTGTACATTGATCAGATTGAGTTGTATGAATAAGAGATGGTGCAGAGATATCTCTACTAGTCCAGACTGAAGAAATAGGAGCAGACTGAGAAGTGACAGAATAACCAATCTGCATAGGTAGCTGCCAAGGTGTTAGAGATCCATTGATGCTATTAACTTGATCCACTACTTCTTCAACTTTAGAGACTAGAGAGCACTGAAAACCAGACTTAAAAGCCATCTCAAATTCGTTGAACTTAACCTGTCTAGCTATATAAACTTTTCCAGATGAAGCCAAGCATTTATAGCCCTTATGCTCTGAGCTATATCCTAGAAACACACATTTCTCAGTGTGATAAGAGAACTTGTGTTGTTGGAAGGGCCGAATATAGGGAAAACAGCTGCACCCAAAGACTTTCAGCCGTGTATAATCAGGATCTTTATTAAACAGTTTCTGAAAGGGTGATACAAAACCTATGGCAGTAAATGGTAACCTGTTTAGAAGAAAGGTTGCTATTGAGAAGGCTTGTCACTAGAAGCATAATGGCATTCCAGCATGAGCTAGCATAGTTAAACCAAATTCAGTAATGGCCCTGTGCTTTCTCTCTATCCTGCCATTCTGTTGATGGAGATAAGGACAAGGGTGCCTAAAATTGATTCCATGTTGCTGCAGATGTTTGGAGAATGATCTAAACTCACCTCCCCAATCAGTTTGCAAACACTTAATTTTAAAATCAAATTGCTTCTCAACAAAACAGTGAAACTATGTAAAAATACCATAGGAATCAGATTTCAACTTCAGAGGATAAACCCACGTGTAAGGACTATAATCATCCACAAATGCAATATAATACCTATACCCTTTACAGGATACCACTGGTGCAGGGCCCCACAAATTAGCATGAATCAATTCAAGTGGAGCATTTGAAACAGGATTGGAACTAGGAAAACCACACTGTTGCATTTTTCCAAACTGACACGCTTCACAAAATGTCATATTATTGCTTGAAACACTGCGTATATGCAGTTTATTTAGTACATTATGTAATGTTTTGACATTGGGATGACCAAGTCTAGCATGCCACAACATAGAGGTACTAACATCAGATTAACAGAAACATCTTTATTGCATGTTGACATAGTAGTAGCTAAAGCAACATTAACTTCTTGACCTAAATTTGGATTGATGCCACTTGATACAGATCTGAGACCAGTATCTGAGTTATTGTTGAAGATAGAAAACTACTGTAGACTAGGTGAAATCTGCAGTTGATAAAGTCCATCTCGCAAACCTCCTTGAAGCAAGACTTCCTTGGTGGTTTTATCCTTTATTAAACAACAATTAGAGTGAAATTCAACAATAACATCATTGTCCTTAGTTATTTGAGAAATACTAAGTAAATTCTTTTTAATATGAGGAACACAAAGCATATTCTTTAATTCCAAAAGTCTCTTAGTAGAGTGAGATGGAACATAAGACATACCTATGTGAGTGATGGGAACAACCTGCCCATTTCCAACTTGCACCTGAGAATCACCTTGATAATCACTTTTAACCAGCAGATTACTAGTGTCAGCTGTCATATGATTCGTAGCTCCAAAATCAACATACCAAGTCTGATATGTCACTGTTTGAGGAGCAGCAACAGGTAGATGCTGAGTAGACATAGGTATAGACACAGGCTGTTGAGGTTGTGATGAATTCACTTGCGAGGATGGGTGAGAATGTTGAAACTGGTGCAAAGATGGCTGGGAATATTGAATCTGTTGTATACCTCCAGACTGAATTGATGGAAGCTCTTGATTGAAGACAGTGTGAGAATAATTGGCTGACTGCTGCTATGGTGCATGCATTAGTTTTGTTGCAAGGAAAGCTTGAGCAACAGGTTCAGTAGCTGGATTTGGAAACTGAGCTTGAGAAGGAACCACATCAGGAGAACCAGTAAATCCTAGATAGGCATGATTGAACCTATGGTAACATTGCAATGCTGAATGTCCAACTTTGCCACAGACTTGGCATATCAATTTAGGCCTAAAAGAACCTCTACCTCTCCCTCTAGGTCTCATATGAGGGTGAAACATCTTCATCCCAGGATGGAGGAACTGATTTTGCATATCTAGCGAAGTAGAGTATTGTGGCTGAAATTGAGTAAATTGACCGAGAATGCTACTCGAAGACTGGAATTGTGAAAAACCAGAAAACTGAGGTGGAACAGAACTTGATTGAACAGCCCCTTGACTAAACTGAGGTTGAATAGAACCTTGACGTGTTTGTGACAGAGTCTATGGATTCATAGATTTTTGGAAATTGGAAGTTTCAGAGCTTAAACCAGAATTATGATAACTCAGTCCAGAATTAGAATTTGAGCTGCCATTACTAAAGTTCTGTTTAGAGGCTACCAAAGCAGAGGCTAGTTGATCAGGAAACATATTCAGAACACTATTCTGTCTTTCAAGTCGCATTTCATGTTTATGTAGGAAGAATTGTGCTTCTTGCAAGGTCATGTTATTACTATTGGTAGTCAATGAAGCCATTATAGCGTCATATTCAGGACCTAACCCATCTAAAATGTACAACAACAACTCTTCATCACTAATTGACACTCCACTGGCAATCAATTCATCACCCAAACCTTTCATAGTCAAGACATATTCACTAATACTAAGTGCATTCTTCTTAGTGGTTTGCAATAAGTTTTGCAAGTGTAAAGTTCTAGCTCTGGACAGTGATTGAAAATGAAGTTCAAGAGTGTTCCATATTTCATATGAAGTGCCACACTTAGCTACATGGCGGAACATGGACTCTGAAAGTGAAGATAAGAGCCAACTTACCAAGAATTGATCAATTTTCTTCCAATTGTAGTAGCTAGGGTTTCCTTTCTTCACTAATTTGCCAGATTCCTCGTCGGACTCCATTATGAACATCGGAGGACATTCTTTTTCCCTAGTGACATATCCATCAAGACCATGCAAAATTAAGGCTGGAAGAATTTGTGAACGCCAAAATGAGTAGTTCCTGTCAAGAAGTTTTACAGAGATTGTAGGTAGAGTAGGTGGAATTCCTGAAGCGGTCAAGCTACTGGATCCAGCTTCCATGTTTACCAATTGCAGAAATTGAGCTATAAATTCTTAAAGAAAAAGAAGAAAAATCCGAGAAAATTGAACCAAAGACGTTTGTCTATGGCTCTGATACCATGAAAAGAAAAGAATTACAGCAAAAGAATCTTGAGAAAAAAGGAGAAAGAAACGGTTAAGAGAGAAAACAGATTCAGATCTGGAAATTTTTTTCTGCTTAAAACGAAAGCTACTGTACAAAGACATATATACTGCTTTCTTTAGTAAAACGCAGCGTATTGGCAAAGTTATTTCTGACCCTATTCTACTCACATATGACACTCTGGTCCTTAGACCTTTATACACAATAAACCTCTTATGCCTACGTCCATTGTTTTTGTATTTGCTGTGAGAGCTTACAATATAAGTTTTGTAGAAAATTTCTACCCCTTTTTTCATCATTTGAGGGGGTTTATATACGAGGTTTGTATAAGGGAAAGAGCAAAAATAAAGGGATTACAATTGATTTAAACTACAACTCCGATATTCTCATGATTGGATGTTATGATTACGCAGAGATTGCTGTTAATCTGGTCATTCCCGAGAGGGAGAGAGATATAAATGGAAAAAGTTTACTCTAATTCTTTTTTGCTGTTTTCTAAATTTTGATGCTAATGCTACTCTTGTGGTGCTGCCTTTCAGGGTATGAAGATGCTGCCTTGAAAACACAAAGGAGTCTTGCTTTTCTGAATTTTGGTCAAAATGTGATATTTAGCACAGCTCTGTCTGCAGCTATGGTCCTGTGTTCACATGGGATTATAAATGGACAGATGACTGTTGGTGATTTGGTAAAACCTCTTCTTAGTATTAATTAGTTGGAGAGTGACTAATGGTTTCATACACTAAGTATAAATCTGGAACACAGGTTATGGTGAATGGACTTCTATTCCAGCTGTCACTTCCTCTCAATTTCCTTGGTAGTGTTTATCGTGAGACCATTCAAAGTCTTGTTGACATGAAGTCAATGTTTCAGTTACTGGAGGTACTTTCTGAGGAACTTACTATGGTTTCCTTGAATTTTAGGGTTCGTTCTTTATTGATTGTCTTTTCTTATGAAATTTATTGTTTATATTGGACCGTGTCAGGTATTGGGCATACCAGCTTGTCTTTAGTTGTTTCTCTACTATAAACCATGATCTTGAGTTATAGATGATGTCTAGTAAAATGAATAGGTTGTTTTAACTGCATTTGCTTCTCAACATTTTCTTTTACCCTTTATTTTGGTGGGTCAATGCTAATTGAACTCCCTATGTTGTGTGTTACTATAGCAAATCTAAGAAATAATTTTGTCACAACTCACAAACCTTCCTTGCAGTTAGTACTTAGTAGGAGACTTGGAGTCTGTTAATTTTCGGTGTGAAGGGTCACAATGGTCATTTCATGCTACTTTTATAATAGAAAAATGAAGTTCATTGATCTTACTTTTTTTTTTTTTTTAAAATATGGGTGGACTGGAAAAATCTCAATATTCATAAAATGCTGTTGAAGTTTCTGAAATTCGTTAGAAACATGAAGTTCAACAGCATTTTATGAAACTTCCACCAAGTGGGAGGTTGCTGACTAAAGAATATAATAGTTGTTATCTTTTATAATTCCATTAAACTTTGAGGAAGTTCAATGCAATTTATCCCAAAAAACGAAAAATTCTTTTTATTCATGATAGGCTCATAATTTGTGAACCCTATAAATTTGTGGTTCATGGATAAAATCTAAATATTTCTATCCTGATTTCTCTCTCTTTTCCATGAAAATGGAAGTCCAAAGAATCCTTTGTCTTTCTGGGCTTTTATAATCTTTGAAGGGGAAAAAGAAACCACAGGCACGTGCTAGGTAGCAAAAACCTATACCATATTAAGAAAATAGTAAACTTGATTTTTTTTTCTTAACCCTTGATGATGAAGACTAGTAGGGGTGTTCAAAAGAACTGGTTGGAACCGGAACCGACGGGTACCCTAGGTTTGGCTCCGGTTCCTACCCAGAACCAGTCATCAATAGGTAGGTTCCGGTTCCAAATTTTTGGAACCGTTATTGTGCGGTTCTGGTTCTGGTTCCTATAGTTAGGAACCAGAACCAGAACCGGAACCAGGAACCGAGACTAATATAAAATAAAATTAAAGATTAAGGGGGTTAATAAAAACTTTTGTAAAAAAAGTAATGTGAATACATTTATATTTATATTTCATAACATTTAAAGTAAGTTGGTTTGACTTTTGAGAATCTACCTTTACAAAGTAATGGAGTTTGTAATTTTGAATTTATAATTTGTAATTTTATTTTTGTTAACAAGTGCCAAATGAGGGAATATTTGTAAGTTTTTAAGGGTTTTTTTACGATTTTAAAAACTTTTGGGAGGTCATGTAATTTTACAGGGTACCCAGAACCAGGACCAGAACCGTTGTTACAGGTTCTGGTTCTGGGTACCTAGGAACCGGAACCATCGGTTCCAGTTCTGGTTCCAAATTTCAAGGAACCGTCGGTTCTGGTTCTGGTTCCGGTTCCTTCTAAAAATGCAGGGTACCCGAAACCAAACACCCCTAAAGACTAGTGTGCTGAGTTGCAAGCCTACAAGCTCCTTTTGCCATATTCAATACCTTCATCAATGGTATCCAAGGCTAATAACCCTTTTCAAGGCTTAAAATTTCAAGCTCATACTTGATTTCAGGAGTTTTCTAATTATTATAAGATCCATGTTGTTCAATATTTTACCCACTACATATTATATTAGGGGCAGCAAGAGGATGGAAATTTAGCAGGATGGACAGGAAAAAAACCCGTCTGAAACTATGGGGACCTATTGAAGCTATTATCAACTATATTAAAGGTCAAAAAAGGAGAAGGAAAAGAGAGGCAGGGTTGGGTAGGATAGAATCTGTCAGCATTGGGTATTGACCTATGTTAAATAAGTGAAGCATACGACGTCGTTTAAACCAGGAAACAAAACGCTGTCGTTTTTTCCATTATTCCAAATGAAATCACAGCCATCAAAGATAAAGAGAATCCAACGACTCAAATGCAATCAGAAGTCAACAGTATAAAAGGGGACTATTCACGCATTTGAGGGCGATCGAGTTTTAGGTATTCGTTTCGTTTCTCTGTAAAATTCGTTTGGTCTGGGTTAGGGTTTCACGCTCATTCTGGGTTTCTTCTTTGTGTGAATCTTTCTAGAGTAATGTTTGAGGGCAAGGGTTCCTTGAAGGGTATAGATTACTCTAGGGTTTATTAGGATTTGCGGGATACAGGGAAGTGAATGAGTGTTTGATTCTGTGAGTGACAGTGAAGAAGATTCTTCTGTAAAATGTAATCTTTGAGGAAATCAACACTAGTGCAGCGAGCTCCATATTCTGGAGTTCAACGTGGATATAACTTGTTCTATATTGAACAAGCGAACCACGGTATATCTTGTGTTGTGTGATTGTGTGTTGTTCTTGCAGTTTCTGTTTTGTATTGTGACTAATCTTGCAGGTTGAAGGATTGGTATTGATTTACAATAGTGGTATCAGAGCCTTTTTTAGGTCTAAATCGGGTCTAGGGTTAGAAATCGTTCAAACTATTGACGAACTCCAAAATTAGGGTTTGTCAGATTTTGGGGGTTTTTCGATTTAAAGGTCCCTAGATCATTAGGCTGTCAAATCTTGTTGAGTCTTAGGGTTAATTCGTGAGATTAGGTCACATACACAAGGGATCGACGAAAATAGGGCAAAATCAATATTAGGGTTTTTTGTCCAGATTTAGGGGTTTTCTTGGTTTAAGGGTATATAGGCTGGAATACCAGTGACCACCTTAAAAACTGCCTAACAGTATTTGGCAACTACTGGTGTAACAAAGCCACGTACNACCAGACAGAAAGAAAGATTCTTGATGGGGTATCTTTTGTTGTCCCGGCTGGAAAAAGTGTTGCTATTGTTGGAACCAGTGGCAGTGGTAAGGCTTCAGTATGTACTCTTACTGGCTGTCAGCATTAGAATCTAATTACTTATTATTTAGATGTTTTACCTCTCTTATGAACAATGAGTTTAGTATTTTCACTCCAATAGAATTCTTTCCTAATATCAATGGTTACTTTTGTAGCTATTATAAGTATGAGCAAATAATTCCCTTCTTTTATTTCTTTGTATTATACAATGTTAAGAAACTAAGGGTGCGTTTGGTTTATTATTTTGGATAGGATTTTGAGAATAATATTGGGTAGTTGGATAGGAGAGTATTACGAGGTAAAATTTAAAAATTTATGAAAAAGCCTCTAGGTTTGCTAATTTAATTAAACACCTTAATATATAAAATGACAAAAACACCCCCACCACCTGCAGTGCCAGATTCCGGCCACCACCGTCGGAATCTAGCCGAAAAATTTCGTTACGACACAGACCGGTCGGATCTGTGTCGTAACGGGTGGATCTGGTCGGAAAAGGCCAGATCTACCGCTAAATATTGCCGTCGACGGCCGAAAAACGCCAAAAGAAGTCCATCTTTGGCCGTCAACGACAGCCAAAGATATGGTCGTCGTTTCGGTCAACGATGGCCATTTCTTTGCGACGGTCAGATTGGTGAACTTTCGGCCATTTCTGGTCGGCAAGTAGGCCGTTGTACAGATTCCGGCTACCACCGACGGTGGTTGCCAGAATCTGACAAGTATAGGTCGCGGGGGTGTTTTTGTTAATTTTTAAACTTTTTTTTTTTTCAGGGGGTATTTAATGAAATTAATAACCTTATGGGGTCTAAAAGTAATTAAAAAAAATAGGCTAATATTTCTGGAATAATGTGCCAAACATTAGTTAGAGAATAGGATTGAGAATATGGGCAGAAATAATAAGCCAAACGCACCCTAAGTGTATATATATAACATTGTATAATAGTCCTCTATCTAATCCATTCAAATGGTTGAAAGAGTTGCAGATGCAGAGTCTGTATTAGAATAAGAGTAACTAGCTTTTAATTTTCTTTTCTCAATCATTAGATTAAACTAGATGAAAGAATATTAAATGATGTAAAAAATTTAGTAAAAATATTATATTACATAGTGTAATATATATATACATACACACACACATACACATATAAAGAAAAAAAGCTGAAAAGCCGGGATCTAATGATAAGCCCTATAAATCAGATAACAAATTTGTCGGAAAAGGGAAAGAATACATTTGCTTAATTACAATAAATCTGTCTAATCACTACCCGACTAATTCATTAGTGACTTCAATTTTATAAGATTCTCTTATCTCCAACAATTACCTTGCTTTTCATTTCTTAAATCTTGGCATGTGATCTATGAAAGGTTATGGACAACCTATTTTTTGAAAAAAATCCTTTCTGCTTGCTTGGTTGCGAATTTTTTTTTTTTTTTTTTTTTTTTTTCTGTAGAGCAAAAGCTAGTATTTTCCTTGTAAAATATTGTTATTTTTCTCATAGATTAAAGGAATGAAGTTTATGTACTGTGTACTTCATAAGCTTGTAATAATCATCATTTGGTTCATAAGATATTTTTGCTCAAATTTCTTTACAGCACTACTGATTTATCTGAATTACTAAACCTTGCAGGCAAGTCCACCATTCTTAGATTGCTCTTCAGGTTTTTTGACACCCATTCCGGGAGTGTAAGACTTGACACTTGTCTTATTTTTTATATGTTTGAATACATGTCACAGATGATCTGGAAAAGTATGTTCATTTTACTGTATAGCTCATGTTTATCTAGGTCAGTCTACTCTATTCTTGGAAAGTTTGGAAACATTTACAACCTCTAATAATGCCATAGATCAGTGCTGTTATCCTAATCTAGAAAAGAAATCAAAACACTAAAGATTATTTTTTATTTAAAGCTATACAATAGTTCTAAATGAAATATCTGAAATCTTCAATACCTTTTAAGTTATCACTGCCAAGTTGACTAGATTTATCTTGTGTTTGAATAATGACATTGTAGACTAAAATTGCATTCGTTTTATGGTTATATTAGTTGTTGTGATTTGTTTGATATGCATGCATTGCACTTAAGTACTCTCATTGGAATTTTATAACCTATTTGGGTTTTAATCTATTAGTTTAAGCTTTTGGGTCAGCTGGCAGCCTAATACTATTCTCTCGCTCTTGCTCTTGCCCTTTCTTTCTCTAATATGCTGCCAAACATGATAGAAAAATGATATAAGTTTTCTTCTTCAGATAGTATGATATATAATGTTTATACTCTTTTGCTCCAAGATGGCAGCTTCTACATTTATTCTGTGGTGATAGTCTTTTCAGTTTCTGAATTTGTGGCAATTTCCTCGACAGATAAGGATTGATGGTCAAGATATACGAGATGTAACATTGGAAAGCTTACGGAAATCTGTTGGTGTTGTGCCACAGGATACAGTAAGTTTATCTTTACAATTTATTTCTAATTTCTCTCCCTCTCATTCTCTCTCTGACTAAATTTTGTTAATTGGCAGGTGCTTTTCAATGATACAATATTTCACAATATCCGATATGGATGTCTTTCAGCAACAGAGGAAGAGGTGTGTGATGAACTTTTTATTGTTAATTATATTTTCTCTTTTTCACTCTGTAAAGTATGCATCAATATCTTTTATATTTTTAGCCTACAACATTTTTCCCTTCAGGTTTACGATGCTGCCCGTCGTGCTGCTATTCATGAAACGATCATGAACTTCCCTGATAAATATTCTACTGTGGTAGGGGAACGAGGGCTCAAGGTGAGAGGCTTACAACTAAAAACATAGGGTGTGTTTTTTTTTTTCACTTACATCTTAATCTTAATAGATTTAAGAGATAGGTCTAAAATTTTTTGGTTTTCATTTTTTGTTTTGACCTTTTAAAGTCAGATAGAAAAATCTGAATTAAAGAAGTTAAAAAATTGTAGTTTCAGAATCAGAAAAAGATTAATAAGCATATTAGTTATAATTACCACGAATATCCTTTATCTTTTATATCCTTATTCAAGTTTAACCTAGCCACCAACCATTTCACCTTGGTACTTTTGATTTTATTAAATATCTGGTACTGGCCATCGCCAGACAGTGACCATCATCGTTTGCTGGTCACTGACAATAGCACAAATTGTTTATGGAGACAATGCTTGCATTAAAATAATCTTCAACTGATGGTTTCTCTAATAATGTAAGTTTCACTATAATGAGGATGATTTTGGCAGTAAAATGAGGATACAGATTCAAAGATTGAATCTTTTTCCACATTTTGCAACCAAACAGCCCTTTTTCCAACAAAAACATTGACATGGTTGGATACATAGTCCTCAAATGATCACTTTGTAATCAAAGTTGTCGGATGTGCTTTAAGGACAACAATCAGTAGATGTTACATCTAACGACATTGCAAGTGACCATATTTTAAATTTTTTAAGATAAAATATGCATTTAACTAATTAAATTGATTATATATATTTAAATAAACTATTTATTCATCTTTTTTAATTTTCTAATTATTTATTTAAAGATACTTGTTTTATATTTTTCATATAATATAAATAATGTTAAATTCTTAAATAGGACAAAGACGTCAAATCTTACAAATGAAAACTTGTGTCAAGATATGATAATATATAAAAACAATGAAATTACATCTTAATAGATTAAGATATATTCCAGTGCAAACACTCTGTAATACTTTTTCATATCATACTTTCAAAGATTGAGGGGGTGGGGCTTTGGTTGTGTCCTTCCTTGGGAGGTGCAACCACCTGCTAAGATGCCTGAAAGAAAAGAAAAAGCAAATGCTGCATGATCTACCTGGGTGTTGTATGGGGAAAACTTTTTTTTATCAATTAAAGAAGTATACTGTTCTATATCCATCAATACATCTCCTCTGTAATAAAGTCCAATCAAATGTTCCTCAATTGTTTCTTTTTGTTGAACTCTAAAGCTTAGCCTTCAACTTGTTTGTCTGTGTTGTAGCTTAACTATTATTTTTGGGTGCTCAACTATAACTTAAGTTTTAGAGAAAAGTGCTAACTTAACATGGTATCCAAGTCAGATAGAGCAAGTAGTTAGAATCTTTTTGTATCAATTAAATTATAAAATGGGATTTATGATTTCATTTGTTGTTGTGGTTGTGTTCGGTCTATATGCAAGTGCAAGTAAGGTAGCCTTTTAAAGCTTAAATGCTATGGTACTTACCTATCAAATTAAGTATTTCAGTCAAGTGGTTTAAGAGTTTGCTGTTGTCAGCTCGTTGCTATCTAATCTAATCCATTGTAATCTGTTAATCATGACCACTGTTGTGTTGAAAAATATTTCTAATGGCAAAAGAAAATGAGCTTGCTATAGATTATACTTTGTTAGATATGAATTTTTCTATGATTACTTGACTTTTCTGTCCAGTTAAGTGGTGGTGAGAAGCAGCGTGTTGCCTTAGCTCGTGCATTTTTAAAAGCACCTGCTATTATGTAAGCATTCATTCTTCTTAGTTTGACATGAATTTGTATGAATGAATCTCTATATACATAAGCTTATTGCATGTTATGTAAGAATTCATTCTTCTTAGTTTAACTTGTATTCGTATCAATGAATATCCATATACATATGCATATTCCATGTTCCAGAATATATAGGAAATTATTGATAACAAACTGAGAGAAAAATATTTTGTTCAAATTCGTTTGGTTATAGTTTCAGGCCTGTGGTTGTATTTTTGGAGTTTCTTTGGTTACCATTATTATATATACAGGGCTGATGACAAGATTGGAGCTTTTTAAGTAAATCATAAGACCACAACGTATTTGTTATCATTTGGTGTATGCTTTGTAATTTGTTCAAATTCATTTGGTTATAGTTTCTGGCTTGGGGTTGTATTTCTGGAGTTTCTTTGCTTACCATTATTATATATACAGGGCTGATGACAAGGTTGGAGCTTTTAAGTAAATCTTAAGACCACAGCGTATTTGTTATCATTTGGTGTATGCTTTGTAATGAGGATACAGTTTCGGATTTTTACACTGATTAATTTTCCAAGAAATAAAGTTTTCCTTTTACGTGTTCTTGTTGCCTGAGATGGACAAAAAGTTGACAATTGGCGTGTTAAACCCTAAACCATTGTGGAGAAAAAAACTAAAATGTAAAATTTTAGTGTTGCAAGTTATGAGAGTTTTCCATTTTTTCCTTGACTGGAAGAGATAAGTAGAATTTCAACAAGGACTAGGAAATTGAGAATTATAATGTCTGTTACATTATTCATATGTATTTTTGTTATGTCATGTTTATCTGTGTAGTTGTTGCATGAGAGTAAACTATAAAGTTAAGAATTAGAATGGTATTTAAACTTGCAAGCTCTACAAGATATTTGGTTGAACTTGCTTAGTATATTTGTATATTATGTCCATGATAGATAGTAGAACTAAAAAAGGTGAATCGATTGTAGATTTACGGGGGTTTTTCGTATATTGCTGTTGTGAGGACGATATTAAATGATATGTAGAATTTGCACAATGAGAATGAATCCATAAAGACAATCCATATGTCGTATTGTTTTATATGTTTTTACTTTTTTCATATTTCTCAATACTTTGCATCTGGGCCATTAAGTTTAGAATTAGCATGTTAAAGCTAAGCTGTAGCTATGTAAGATGTTTCATCCATCAAGTTGATAATGTATGTGACACGTTATGTCCATGATACTTTTTTTTTTTTTTTTTTTTTTGGGTCTCATGCAGTGTGACTTCTTGTCATATGATTTTCTCAGGTTATGTGATGAAGCTACTAGTGCACTTGATAGCACAACCGAAGCAGAGATATTAAATGCACTAAAATCACTAGCAACTAATAGAACGTCAGTCTTTATAGCACACAGGCTCACAACGGCAATGCAATGTGATGAGGTAATCGTTCTTATTGACGATTTATCTCTCTCATGGAACAGAATCGTTGACAATTTATCTAGTAAATATTTGTCAAGAAAATAACAAGCAGTGTCTTATTGTTCTGAAGGACATACCTACTAGTGGTCAATAATGAGTCAGAAACATGCTTTGCAATATTACATACTTGCAAGGGATGGCCACATTACCAGGGCGTTTATTATTTTTGGATTGAAATCTTGAGTGACTGCATACTATACAAGATTCTAATCCAATGATAATTACCGGTCTGGTAAAGTTACTGAGCTGGTATTATAGTGGTGACCTTTTTTGCAATGTGAATTAATTGTTTTGAAAGCTTCTAGTTCACTCTTGATGTAATCGAGTATTAATCTTCTCAACCGTTATTTTCTCGTATTCTTTCTCATATTCATCTGAAATTTAAATTGGTTTTCAGATAATAGTTTTGGAGAACGGGAAGGTAGTCGAACAGGGATCCCATGAAGTTCTATTGACAAAGGCAGGGAGATATGCTCAGCTATGGGGACAGCAAAACAGTAGCGTGGATGCCCTTGATACCGACGTAATATCGTCTCCTTGAAACTAAAATTCTCATAAATATAATCAATATTGTCCATATATTTACATAACAATGTATGCAAAAATCTGCAGATGTAACCTTCCCCCATTCTTTTAGTTTCACGGCCTATATTTCTTGGATGAGATTTAAATCCTGACATATATAGAGGTGAACTTGTGGCATGATTTATTGTAAGTTATATGGTATTGCAAGGAAATGCAATGCACAATTGAAGAATAATTAAAATAAAAGGTTGCTGAAGCCTAAGAGACCTTAATCTGCTCTTTATTTGGATATTTGTAGTTAAATTTTTTGTTTCGTCTTGAGATCTATTCTAGATGTTGTGGTATTGATGGTTCTGTTGATTTAAGTATGATAGTTGAAAAAATGAAACAGGGAGAGCTATTGGTATTGGACTTGCTAGAATACAACATAATTACCTTTGTTAAAAGTAATCCAAATCAATTAACTAAAATAGTTTTTAATTTTAATTTTTGGAATTTTGTTAATTGAAAAGGGTTAAATAGTGATTTTGTATATTCTGAAACCATATCATAATAATTAACATCGTAAAAGGTAATTAATAAGGGTATAAAAAACTTTCCAATATCATTACTCTTTTTTTTTTCTTTTTGTTCTTTTTTGTTAAATTAAATGAATGAAGTTTGCAGGTCTTGGTATACAAAATTTGGCTAAATAAGGATTTATCCGGTTGTTAACTTCATAGTTCTGAGAGATTAGTTACGGTATGCATACATAAAGGAACCCAAGCTAAGAGTTGACCCTCCTTGACTTTGAAAAATTGTCCAATACATATATGAAATTAACTTTTAAATTTATCAAATATATCAAATTAAATTCTTAGTTGTTACAAAACAATCCCACAAACACATTTAATAAAATATTTAATGAATTTTATATCTATTATATATTTCTACAAAGAACAAAATGAAGAAAGTTTGTATATCTTTTCAAATATTTTATAAAATAAATATTTTTTCTAAAATTTGTTTGTCAAATTAAACTATTGTCAATTGTTTTTTAATTCAATACTTCTTACTTAAAAAAATCATATCAAAATATGTATATATTTATAAGGACTAGCTTACAACCCACCGCCATGGACCCCACTTAAGATACAGATGTTCAAATAGAGAATCGAACCTAAGACGGCGTGTCTATTCACATTATCCCCAATTTGTTCTAATCATCTAGACTACTTACAGATGGATCATATCAAAATATTGAAGTTAAACAAAAAAAAAAAAAAAAAGATAAATATCAAAATTTTGTATTTTGATGCATTATTTTAAAGAGTCAAAACATAAAAGTGAAACTACAACAAAAGTTATAATATTTTTTTATAAAAGCTAGATAAATCTTTGAATATTTATTGATAGAAATTTTATTATAGTTTAATTTGGAGGTGGTATTATTTGTGTTGACTTAATAACTTGTTCATTAGTAAAAAAAAATTTGTTTTGTTTTACACTAGTTAAAGTATTATAAATTTATTCCACATTGTCAAAGGCAATCATAAATAGATTAATTATAAAGAGCATTATAAATAAATACTTATATTTTTGTATAACTTATATCCAATATATTATTTATAATTTTATTATAAGTTTATTTACAATTATATTTGTAAAGTTTAATTAACGTTTTGATGTTTCTACAAACAAGTGCACTGATTTTAAGTAATATAGTATAACAAACTACAAGTTATTATACCAAAGGGATTGCATAAACAAGTACTGAAATGTTAATACTTTATCTAGATAATCAAAATTTAGAATGGTCATCTTTAAAACTAAAAATATTAAAAGCTAAAATATTAGAAACGAACAATTGCAAAAAAACTAAACTTAAGAATTCAATAAGAGAAAACGGCTTAAGACTTCAGGCTCATCTATAACTTCTTTGCACCTCTCAATTTACTATGGTCAATGAATTTATTTGATTAATGTGATAACGAAATTTCTTAGGTTAACCATATTCTTTCTCAAGCAATATTAATTCTACTTCTATCTCACAACCTAGATATCTCTATGTAGATTTAATAAAATAGACAAGCATTAAGTTTTATGAAATCCTCTAGCTTTCAGCACAAGTTAATCCTACATATGACTATTGCATGTTATCAATTCGTATATCTCTATATCCAATTAATCCATTACCTATATTACTAAAGCACTCATGTGATATCTCCTTTCGGTCTCAATCACACAAAACAATTCTATTAGAAATTGATCAGGTTCTTAATAGAATTAAGCACATAATATAAGCTCATTATTAGAAAAATAATTCAATGACCATAGAGCAAAGGATTGATCACAGATTCATAAATAGACTAACTCTAGTCTTAACTTGAGAAAATTAGTTCATAATAAAAGAAAAAAAAGTAGAATTTAAGAAATAAATCATATTGAAAAAGTAAAGACAAATTCTACGATGAATTTTGTTCTTGATTCTCCTTTTTCTTTTGTTACACAATAATCTCTTTCCAAAAATATACAAAATTCGACCCTCCAACAAGTAATCTCAATCACACTTAAATATCTAAAAGAGTCCTAAGCAAACAAGGAAAAAAAAAAACTAAAAAAAAAAAAACCCTAAAAGTGCCCAACACGGCCCTAGCCATGGCCAAATGTACATCACCACAGCCTAAGCCATGGTGCTTCCTGTCCTCGATATTTTATTCACATTCCACCACCATGGCCATGGTGAACCACCAAGGCATGGCTATGACCTTCAAAATTGTCAACTAATTTCAATTTCTTCGAGTTTTGAATCTCAATTTCATTCAAATCCTCCAATATACTCAATTAAAGCTTGAAAATAGCTGATCATTCACATCTCAAACTTAACAAAAACTAACATCAAAACAAAGAAAAAAATAAGAAATTAACTAGAAGACTATAAAAACAAACCTAGAAACACTAAATTTATACAACTTATTAGTTCTTGACTACATCCCTATGCGTAAGCTAGAAACACTAAATTTATACAACTTATTAGTTCCTGACTACATCCTTATGCGTAAGTTGGAAACACTAAATTTATACAACTTATTAGTTCCTGACTACATTCTTATGCGTAAGCTGGAAACACTAAATTTATACAACTTATTAGTTCTTGACTATATCCCTATACGCCGACACTCCTAATCACCAAAAAAAAAAAAAAAAAAATCTGGCCAAATGACATCACGCTTGATACTCATTTCATCAACCATGTATACCTCATCTATGGGCACTCGATTTCACAAGCACATTGTACAGTGGAAATGCATCAATTGTCTGAAATCTACGTTAACAACAAAACCACAATAGTAAAAATAGAATGGTGTTCTACCAAAAACAATAACAAATGCTGAACCAACTATATGACATCAAAGAAACAGCTGATTTGTTCATTGAACATACCATATTTCCAATGAACCTATCAACTGTGGACACCAATTGATTATACCGAAAAAGCCAATGTTGCCACTGATCGATCTCGCTGCATCAATATATATATTTAGCTTATTCATATTAAGATCAAATTTTGATCACAGATTTGGACCTGTAAAGGTCCAACAACCAGCTGAGATTTTGCTTCTTGCGTTTGCCTATCAATTTCTTCCCACATCATAATATACAAGTCCTGCAATGAATTTGAATTCCACAGTACCTTTATTCTAATTATATCAGAGAAACTAAAATGAATTTAGATAGACAACATACATCAAGGTTATCATCGAATGCAGATTCAGTGGACTGTGGTATATTATCTTTTGGAACAATTGGACTTTGCTGAGAGACAGAAGCATATGTCCAGGTGCACTTTCATAGTCTGCTTCAGTTGTTGCGCCTGCATTAGAACATTGACCTTTATTTCTCTACATAATATAACAATAAACAAAGCATGTTAGAAGTAGACAATGGCATCATCATTTATCATTTATGTTCATATAAATACATAGACTTACAATTGTTGCTCTTCTCTTTCGAGCATTCCCCCCAGCAATGGGGTTGAAAAGCAAATCTTGCTCCCCCATGTCATTAATCTACAACAAACGAGTGTGTTTCAACTCTTTTCTCTTCCTTGTATCATGAGCCACATTCTCAAGATAGAATTGGGTTTCAGCTCCTTCTTCATATCCTACTATGTCTCAATTGTACAAGTTCCACTCTTTATTTCAACATACTTCTTATGCCGCCAATTAACATCAATGTTGGAAACATAAAAAGTAGCATTATTTACCCTTTCCTGTTCATCGAATAGCTCGAAGGCCTAGTATCATCGATTATATTATTATAGATGGTAGCCGTCTAATCAACTAATTTCACTACAAGAAAGCTCTTACCTAGTCGAGAAGAACGAAGACAAAATTTTTAAAAAAAAAAAAAACCTAGATTATGGATAGCTCGAAATTTAGGGAAGACGGAAGAATGGTGTTAAAGGGTTTAGAGTGGGCGGTGAAAATGAGAACGGAGATCAAAACTAACTTATAAGTTTTAAAATCAAGTTGACATGTTTGTTTATAACTTTTTTTGGTTTATAAACCAAAAAAATAGGTTGGAGGGAACCTACTTTTGTTTTTTTAATTATTATTTTTTTTCTTATAAGCACTTTATTTATTAATTACTTTGACCAACTATATTATCACTTACTCCTATTTAATTTTAAAATTCTATCATATAAAATAATATAATATATTTTTAATCATTTTAATAATAAAATATACTTATAAGTCATAATTTTTTAAACACATAAGTTATTTATCAACCACTTATAAGTACTTTAACAAAATAAATAATTACTTAAATTTTAAATGTTTGTTAGCTCAAATTACTTAGACCATCTCCAACCCATTGCACCAAATTGGTGCAAATTTTGGTGCAAAACACTATTCTATTTCCAACCCACCACACCAAAAAGAATATTTTTTAGAATATTATTTAAAATATTCTTTTTTTATTTATTTTATTGTAATAATAAACAATTAATCTATTTCACTCATTATTTTTGTATATATTAATTAAATATTAGGAATGATATTTTTATTAAATAATAATTATTTTGATCACTCTAGTTCTTTTCAATATTAAATAACAATTAATCTATTTCTTTTATTGTAATAACTCTAGTTCTTTTCAATATTTTGATGATCTTATCCGGAACTAATCTACCGGAATACTAAATTGTTATTTGAGTTTATGTTGTATTTTTTTTTTAATTTTAGTGTTTTTAAATTAGTGTTAATTTTTATTTTGAGTTATTGTAATTTAATATTTGCATTGAATAAA